CCCCCCCCCCCGGGCCGCGCATACGGTTAAGTTTCAATTTAAATAGAAACCAGGCAACAGAAAAGTGCTGCGCATTAGCCCCACAAAGAACCAAGACACACCACTGTATGACAGCGTGTAATAAGGGACAGATAAGTTTGTGTGAAAACCAGCAATAAATTGTCTCCGATAAAGGAACAGAAAAACTTACTGAATCCGGTTAGGCGAGTCTGGTAAGCGTGGTTTTATTTGTTGAAAATCTTTGATGAACTGGAGGCCACTAAAAGACGGAAAGAAAATGTCAGATGTGAATAATTCATGATTCGGCCTCCTGACAGATACACTTCTTAGTCGATCACATAAAATACAAATCTGAAGCATCTTATATTAACGGTTGATCGCATTTTCTACGACTATTCGTGTTATAACGAGTAAGGTTTCGTTTTCGGGGACTATCTCAATCACCCAGCGGTTCAGCATGGTGTGCATTACCTGCGCACATTCACAGAGCGAAGTGACAATACCAGCCTGTGACTAATTGGTAAGTGTGGTCATTGAGAGAATCTCTATTCCACTAAGAATTAGGCCGGAGAGAATGTCGCATAGATCACCGTTCATGTGGAAGATGAAGGGGAAGGTAGATACAGAGCAGCCCTGTCAAACCAAACGGGAGACGACAAATGACTGTGAAATATGACAACTTACTCCGGTCGGATCTGGGTAACCCAGATTATGGTTTTGAGAATAGAGACATTCTTCTAGGTTATTTCGCTCCTGAACAAGCTATTTAAGAATGCAGTCCATTTTATGTGATGCACAGTAACATGAAAATAGTTCTTAAATTAAAAAACAAGGTCTTAGTAAGATAATGACTAACAGCAGCCGCAAAAGTTACTTTTCCTAGATGACCTAAAAGAAGGTTCGCAAACAAAAGTATTGTGAACATTCTCTGAAGTGGAGATTGAATGATCATGAATTTCATTTAAGTACAGTGACAAATGTGAGACAAAAATATACCCTTTTCGCGTTTTCATTATTTTCGAGATAGGACGCTGTGTTGTCGTGTCATCTCCAATCCATAGATGGTTCAATACTCCGATTCGCAGGACTAAATCTACCAGTCACAGAAGATCAAGGTAATATGAAGTTTATCGATCTTCTACTGTTAGTCACACTAGGGTAAGCACACAACAATGGAACTTAATATGAAACTTTCAATTTTAAACACATCGAAGGTAAACAATTTAAATTCAGAGTCACGAACGACTAAAGCCGCACGGGATTTACCGTTGATTCATACGCTGACGAAGCTTTCGTGCACGTTTCCGACGCATCTTGATTCGATCCTGTTCAGCCTTACTAAGTGGATCCAACAGTTCCGGAGGGGCATCCACTAGGTGGAGTAAATTAAATGCCTCCTATATGCACCAAAGAAAGTATGACAAGAGGAATTAGTTTCTGAAACATATACAATACCTGTAGAGATACAAGGAACACATTGTTGAATTGCGTAATTTACGGTCAAACGAATGAATAAAGTGAGTTGGGAGCATTCATCATAGCTCATGCATACTCACAGCTCCTGATATGCAATCATGTTTCAAACACTCATGCGGCATCCAACGGCCTGACACCG